CTCTCTTTTTGTTTGTCTTCTTTAGTTATTTGGTGATAGTCGAGCATGGATCACAGAGTTCAGAACATTCTATGATGACGTCACAGTTAGGTGAACGAAAGAAAACAGTTGCTTCAAATTGCTTTGGTGATGGTTTTTTCGGAACAGAGTGGCGAATAACTGTTCGAGGAATAGCAATGGTTATGTCAGTGTTCGGATCAATAGCAGCATTTTTTGTTTGATGATCTTCAGGCACACCTTCACATAGCTTGCTTTTCTCTATTGTTGACAACACCTCTCGAAACTGTTCACCACTTTTGATAGAACGTTTATGTTCATTGTAGATATTGTGGTCATCAGGTATTGGCCAATTAAAAGCATATGCCGTAAACCCATTGAACAAGAATCCACAACAACTGTATATTTGGCAACTCCATGGACATTGTCAGTCAGAAAAAAATTGACATTGCCATCATCACAACACTTCACTTTTCCATTCCAATAAAGTATCATTGTCAAGTTGATTAATTAAATCATCTGAACACAATCCTGGCTCTAAATATGAATGGGAGGAAGATGGTATATCCTCTTGTAGCTCTTGTCTTGGTGCCTTCTTCTCAATAACTCGACGTGGTGTCTTCTTGGTCTCATGGGATCTTAATGGCAGGTTCTCTGTGTGGATACTGCCAGTTTGAAGGATTTTTCTTGAGTTTGGCTTATCAGGATCTGCAAATGGTTATAATTAGTACACAAGTACAAAAACCATGACCAGCCGACAATTTAAAAAAATAAAGTAAAAAGCAAATTCGGAATTTGCTTTTTACTTTATTTTTAGTACACAAGTAGTTGTGTTCTCTATAGAAATTATTACACTTATTGAATATAAGTGCATAAATTCCTTACATTGTAATGCATAATAGAACTTCAAAACTGATAGAGTCGATATTTCAAAATAGCACAAAATCTTAATCAAAACTGCTAGTGTCAAGCTAGTGAATCAAAAGAATCTTAATCCAAGTCGCTTTCACCATACGGTATTAAAATATAAAGTGTTAACAAAATAAAATCTTTTGTGGGTGCTAAAACAGCTACATGTACTTGCCACTTCATATATAGTAAAAAACACACAAACTTTATATACTTCAAAAATGTGCAGTGCAGATAAAATATTAGATATCCAACTGGGCAGTAAATATAAACGACGGATGGAATTACAGCATGAAGCCTGGCAGGGTGTCAAACACACAAATATCAGTATAGCACTAACAATCCTTATAAAACTCAGTTGAGATTATATTTTGTGGGTACGTTTATAGTCTAAAACCGTGGTTGTTTTCACGTATAAAAATATGCATACAGTGGAAAAAAGATTGGCAGAAACCTATTATAAACATTAAAACATATATACCTTGATGGTTTCAGATGGCTTCGGCTCCATATTAAAAAAGCAGCCAAGGTTGTATGAATCTCGACAGCCTAAAAGATAAAAATATAGCCGCTTCTCGACGTTTCGAGCAAAGGATGAAAGTTTGCTTGAAACGGAGAGATTCGAGAAGCCATATTTTTATCTTTCAGGCTGTAGTGTAGTGTCAACAAGACAACATTTGCATCCATGGTGTCCATGGTCATACTAAGCAAAATTTACATATTAATTATCATAACAATTATACAAGCGCAAGTTATGCAACAAACATACCTTTTAAAATGCAATCGGCTTTAAAATGGAGTTCGCAAACATATATTATTCTTGTTTATCCGTTCCTTCAGTTCTGAAGTCATCTGTCTTGTCCTGAGAATAATATTGAGCCATTCTTCTCGGCTTTTTTTCTTTAGCGACGCAGTGTGTTCGCTTTGTTTGGCGTTCACAACGGGAATTTGAAATAACGATAATTTGTGCTTTTGGCTTGTCGGACAACCAAAAAATGCACAATTTCTACCAGGCATGGTGAAAACTTATATCTTGAATTATAAAAACAGCACAAAAATTAAAGACGGCCTTTGGAAACGATGTTTCTCGATGAGATGTTTGCTTTACGCTATTAAGGATTTGTAATTTGATGCGCACTATCAGTCATGTGACCCTCTAAACATGGGATCAAAAACATATGCCGAAACTCCGCCCACTATCCAAACCATCTCATTCTATTAACTGTGGTTACATATACGGGCTGTATGTTACACATACGGGCTGTATGTTACACATACGGGCTGTATGTTACACATACGGGCTGTACTTTACACATACGGGCCATATGTTACATATACGGGCCATATGTTACATATACGGGCCATATGTTACATATACGGGCCATATGTTACATATACGGGCTGTCTGTTACATATACGGGCTGTATGTTACATATACGGGCTGTATGTTACATATACATTGTTACATTATATCCTTGACTCCCTGTCTCTCCAAAGTATTGGAGGACTTTGTGGTAAATTGGATCATTTCGGACTTAGGTCATAAAATCGACCCCCAGCAATTTGGCTGTTTAAAAGGCACTTCCACTACTTATTGCCTTCTCGATATCCTTCATAACTGGCTAAATCACCTCGATAACCCTGGAAAATACATCCGCGTTTGCTTCCTTGCCTTTTGTAAAGCATTCGATCGGATCGACCACAACATCGTCATTTCGAAACTTATCAACCTCGGCGTACGAAGAGCCTTGATCCTGTGGATCTGTAGCTTTTTGTTTGGTCGGATACAGTCTGTAAAAGTTAACCAATTTACCTCTAACTGGGGTCCTGTTACTGCCGGTGTCCCGCAGGGTACCAAGCTTGGCCCTATCCTATTCCTCGTAATGATCAACGACCTTGCCAGCCATTCTCCGTTGAGGTCTAGTAATTGGATGTTTGTTGATGACGTTACCATCTCCCAAGCCATCCATCGTAACTCCCCCCCCCCTGGAATACAACAAGATCTCCACTCTATTAATGCCTGGTCGATGAGTAATAACATGAAATTACACCCTCAAAAGTGCAAGGACTTTACCATCTCTTTTCTGCGCAACCCCCCACAAGAACTGTCTTCTACATTGTCGATCAACTCCCAACCTTTAGACAAGGTCACCTGTTTTAAACTGCTAGGAGTCACCTTACAAAACGATCTAAAATGGAACGCCCATGTTGACTCTATCACGTCCAAAGCTTCAAAGAGACTTCATATTTTGCGAGTTTTGCGTAACTCCGGTGTGTCTGCCAACGACCTCCTGACTATTTACATTTCGATTATCAGATCTGTGCTAGAATACTGCTGTGCAGCCTGGAATACATCTATCCCCTCCTACCTTTCCGACAAAATCGAGAGGGTTCAACGTCGTGCTCTACGGATTTTATATCCAAACATGTCCTATTCAACCGCACTTGCTACCTCCTCTCTTCCCCGTCTATCCGATCCTCGTGATATTCTTTGTAAGAAGGTTTTGGATAAAATAACAATACCATCATCACGCCTTAACCGCATTTTACCTCCGACCCGGATTGAGTCGCATGGCAGAGAACTGCGCCACTCTAGTAATCTTAGCCTATTTAAGTGTAGGACAGACAGATTTAAGAACAGTTTCTTCCCAGCTATGTGCTCACGTACTATGAACAAGTCATGACCATTGTCAATTAGGTTTACAATCTAAATTTCCATTTTTATATAACTCCATTTCCTAGTTTTAAAAAGTAACAGTAGTCTTCATAATTTTAAGCTTGTAAAAATACTATAATTCACTATTACTTGTATTAGTGCGATTGTATTTTAAATATACCGTCTATTATTATTATACGGGCTGTATGTTACATATACAGGCTGTATGTTACATATACGGGCTGTATGTTACATATACGGGCTGTATGTTACATATACGGGCTGTATGTTACATATACGGGCTGTATGTTACACATACGGGCTGTATGTTACACATACGGGCTGTATGTTACATATACGGGCTGTATGTTACACATACGGGCTGTATGTTACATATACGGGCTGTATGTTACATATACAGGCTGTATTTTACATATACGGGCAGTATGTTACATATACGGGCAGTATGTTACATATAGGGGCTGTATCTTACATATACGGGCTATACATTTAGGCTTCGTTTCATTATTTTATGCGGCTATATTACGATGATCGGCATCAAACGAATGTTAATCGCATCATTAAATGTTATCTACAAATAAATGTACGGTTTCCAAATTAACGCAGGAAACTTTGTTCCCTGGTTAAGAGCGAGTCTCTACAAAAATCAAACAAACCGCGGCAAGGCTCAAAATTTAAAATTCGCTCTACTTTTGACTTTAAGTTAACTATGACAAAGTATGAAACGTCATATGGTTAGTTTTTAAAAATACTCTATTGTTTATGAAAAAAGGGGAAAAAATATTTCAGCTGTGAGGACCGATTTTCGCAATTGAAAAATGGCCGAAATTGCGTATGTTTACTTAATCCTGGTATCCTAACCCTAAATCCAAATAGCCTTATTATACTTTCTGCTAAAGATAGATCACTCCCTCGTTTATTAAAAGTGGTTTTATGATAATTTAACAACTGAACACATTTGTGCACAATAAAGAGCGACGGGTACTGATCTTTATTGTTTGTCATTACGTGTAAAAAGTGACAGATTTCTCCATTTGCCATCCTTTCAAATCTTATGAGATTTTGCACAAGCACTATTGGAAAACTGCTCTTTTCAGAAATGTATAATTTATTTTGAGCAAATAAATTCACACGCTATGAGAAAGAGTTAACTTTGGTTCATTAAATATGCAAAAATCACTGTTTGGCAATTGACCATATGCATAATAGACTAAATTTTGATCTCAACAAGTCTAGACAAAAATTTCATCACAGCTTGAAAGAGCATCACAAAATTAGTAATATTCCAAAACAGATGAGGCTGACGAAAGTGAAGAAAATATGCAAACTGATTCTGATGAAGAGGAAATGTTGAAAAGCAAAAGGAAGAAAAAGGAAACAAAGGGGAAGAAAAGTGAGGACAAGGTAAAGTTTTGTACTATAGGCAAAAATTCCAATTATTGCAAATTGAGCATATAATTAGCCTTTCTTACGATGATGAATATCCGATGCAGACATCAAAACAATGTGAAAAGCAATTTATCAAAATAAACTATAACCATTTGCGAAGCAAATTTACCATTATTCGTACAAAAAATTATAAAAAGTCATGTAAATGTGGACTTCTCTTGCAGACTTCAGCTGAAATGCCACCCAAAATGGCGGCGTGAGAAAGGCTAATTAAATTAGGCCACATTTCTCACTTTTAGAGTAAGAAATTCTCATGGAAAACAAATCCATGGAAGCGTCCACAATCATCCAACATTCCCGTTGAAAAGATGAAACCATCAGACAGCAGCTTATCCAATCTCTGTCAACCATTTAAATTTTTCAAGCAATTTCTCACCAAAGATTTGTTAGATCATATAACATTTCAAACAAACTTATACAATACCCAGCGTGCAACACTTGGTTATAAACGAGCAGTGAGGAAAAGAGACTCGGATACCAGTTACAAACAAATAAAGAGCGTGACAAAACATGAAATTGAACAAGTATTTGGTATTATACTCTACATGGGTATCCATAAGCTACCTAATTGTTGGATGTATTGGGCCACCACAACATGTGTGCCACTCATTGCAAGCAGCATGAATAGAAATCAATTTGAAGAAATCCTGTCTGTTCTTCATTTTAATAATAATCAAGAGGTTACTACTGATCCTGCCAATCCAAATTATGACAAGTTATTCAAACTGAAGCCACTGATTGACCATTTCAGAACTGTTTTCAAAGGGTCGGTTACAGCAGAGACCATCCAGTGCATCGATGAAATGATGGTGCCATTCAAGGGCAGGCATGGCGCCAAACAGTACATGCCAAAGAAGCCATGTAAATGGGGCTACAAGTTCTGGTGTCGAGCTGGCATGTCTGGTTATGTCTACGATTTTGAAATCCTTGGTTCTCAAGAGGCAAAGGGTCCACCGCCTGGGGTAAATCCTGAAGAGTTTGGAGAAAGTGAAAATGTTGTCCTGAGATTGTCCAAGGAATTGGAGAAGAATAGGCATCAATTGTTTTTTGACAATTATTTTTCCAGTCCCGACCTCTTAGTTTATCTGATGTCTCGACGCATTCTTGCCGTTGCCACTCTCAGATCTGACCGGAGTCGTGGTTGCCCTCTGCCTGCGGAGAAAGATATGCGAAAAAATGGCCGGAGAGATCTTGCTGAATTTACAGATTCAAAGGCTGGTCTAGTGATCTGTGCATGGTATGACAACCGTAGGGTGTTAACCATCTCAAACTTCTTGGGAAAGCATCCTGTCTCAAATTGCAAGCGATATGATAGGAAGGAGACTGTCTCTGTCCCCCGTCCAGCATCTGTCGAATTGTACAATAAATTTATGGGTGGAGTGGATAAAGCTGACATGTTCCTATCACTTTACCGCACGAAGCACCAAAGTAGAAAGTGGTACCATCGTATTGCATTCCACCTTATATCTCTGGCTGCTGTGAATGCATTTGTGATGTATTGTGAGATTGGTGGAAGCGGATCCTTTCTTGATTTCATTGTCGATGTATGTCGGTGTCTGCTCGCTGTTGAAGAGCCAAATGACCCTGACAGTCAGTCCACCTCAGTTGTACGTGTACAAAGATCACTGAAAGTCAGCCAAGTGCCAAAGGATATACCGTTTTGACAAATGTAACCACTGGCCCCTTCCAGTTGAGAAACCTCAACGTTGTAAAAACACTGGTTGTAACAGAAGAATGCGGTTTTTGTGCTCAAAGTGCCAAGTGTACCTGTGTGCAACGGGGACAACATGCTTTTTGGTTTACCATGGCATGACTTCTGAATAACTGTACCATTCTCTGTATTTCTCTTGTAAATATTATATGATTTTCAATATACTCAGATCATTAAAAAATTATGTTTTTTATTCCATAAATTCCTGATGTCAACATATGTTCACAAAAAATATATCCCTAAACTAGCTTACTTATGGCGGAGAAAAACACAAATATTTGTTCATCAAGGTGAATTTACGCATATACAATACTTTTCCCATTTTTAATACTTCTAGTTTAGTCCCAGGCATTAAAGGGTTTAATACTTGGATCTTTAATGTTAACTTTACCATAAATTAATAAATAGAGGAAGTACTTTTTGGGGTGGATGAAAAATAACAAAATTAGATTGGGCTATATTTAATGATAACTTATTTGGTACAAAGTCACTCATGGATATATGGTTATAAGTTCATTATTAACAATTGATTCAAGCTGAAATAGACTTTTATTAGCATAGAAAAGAGTTGAATCACCAGCAAAAATGTGAAAATCAAGTATATCAGAAGAACAAAAAAATCATTGAGGCTGACCAATTATTTACTTGCATACCTTAATTATTCCAGCTGAGCAAGAAGAGAAGTGTTGTGAAATATGCCTAGTGTGTAATTAAAACTTTCGCTTTAAGTAACTGCAGTGTAGCCAGTGTTTAATATAACGTTTTAACAATAAAGTATTTCATGTATTTACTTTCATTTGTTCTTTAATTTGTTGTTTCTTTGACTATTGATATATAATAACACACTTATTTACTGAGACCTCGGGAAAGCAGCGTGTTTTGTGGACCCTCGACCGTCTATCTAAACTAAACATCGATGGTCTCGGGTCCACAAAACACACTGTTTCTCTCGGTCTCAGTAAATAAGTGATAATTGACGCTGACCAATTATTTACTTCCGTACCTTATTCCAGCTAAGCAAGAAGTGAAGTATTGTGAAATAGAATACTTTGATGAACAACTTAAATAATATTATAACATATCCTATGATATAAAGAAGGTGGTTTTATTTCAGTGGCCAGATGCACATAATTTAAAAGCTTGTTTTTCAACTATGCACATTTGTTTGCACAATTATGACGTTGATATTAAAGTGATGCTGACAAACAAAAATTTGCATTCATTGCCACAGGAGCCCATCCTGGGTCTTTCTGAAGTTATGCATTAGCATTACATATGAAATAGGTCTGTGTTGAAGCCGGCGGTTTGGAGGCTGGGTGCCGGCTAACAAGCACATTGAATAAATTAAACAGAGAGAAAAAAGGTTCAAACATCGACAAATGCCGAAACGCAAAGCAGAATATCAGCGTGTGTAAACAAAATGGGTCAAGCATTTTATTATCTTATATAAGATCCACTAGGGCTGCTTCTTTCATATTGTTATGTTAGAAAACCTTCCAAATAGTTGCTAATGGGGATTACTTTTTGCTGCATGCCATACATGGCATGCAACTTTCATATAGCTCTAAATTTCTTGTCGTCGTGTTCAGTATGCGTACCGGTCATAAATCATGTGGTAGATTCATAAAGTACGAGTGTACGACAAATACAGAGTTTTTCCGATGAGCATTTTCATGCCCGGTTTTCATCGAGGAACACGCAAAGAAATACTTATTATTCGCCGAAAATTTACATAATTGAGCACCTTCGAAAAATAAATCGAGGTAGGTAAAGCTTTACTGTTTTTAACTTACCTTGTATTTTGTTATCTGTTGTGATTTTGCAGCCGTTGTGCTTGCACTGATTATTTATCAATTATGAAGCGTTTATTTATATATCGTGAAAGCCTTAAAGCCCAATGCTATCAAAATACTCGATTTTTATATACTCGAACTGAAATGGAGCCATTGTGCTCGCACCAATTATATTGTGTGCAAAGCTTCAAAACTACAGCACATTTTGTAAATAACATGAAATATAAATATCAAACGAAATTTGTGTTATAAATACTATTGAAATTTAATACAACGAAATAGCAACCATCGTGAAGTACGCATAAGATTCAACATGACATTCGATATAGTGTAAATTAACTCATTTCAATCACTCAAACGTCAAAATGATAAATAATCATTTTCAATCTATTATAATAATTCACAGTTTCCACAGGTTTTTTATACCTTTAAAAAGCTACAATAAAGCTAAATCTAAAGGAAATAACTTAATATAGTTATAAATTTGTGAAGGAAATCTAACAGTCAATTGCTTTAGATAAAACCTGGACCCACCTTGACCTTGTTAATGTTATTATTACCATCGCTTGCAACTAACTATTAACGGTCGCTTATAAAAACATTGCCTATTCGCATGTTTCTGCTGGAGTCTACACCGTAGGCACTAACTATTAACGGTCGCTTATAAAAACATTGCCTATTCGCGTGTTTCTGCTGGAGTCTACACCGTAGGCTAGTTTGTGTGAGAATCTTAAGTTTTCTTATTTTGACATAATAGCTATTTTTCAATAAATATATTGATATTAAACTTATTGAATCAATATTTTAAGTTTCCCGCCAGTTGTACCAAAGGTTATAAGGGCTATAGCATGGCATGCAACATGTATGCACTGCGTACCTATTTTTTGATTGATTACACAGCAGTGAATCTTTGGATGTGTTCCACAGGTTGATATGACAGTGTATTTGACTGCTGAAATGCTTACTTATTTCCTAACACACTACACAGCTCTCTAAAATGATAATGAAAATTTATTAATTAGTACCAGATATTATAATTATCAATAAGACATAATTAAATTATACTTTTTTAAAAGGTACAAGCTAACTGAAATAACCAATGTGGGCAATACTAGTCAGTTAGCTGTACAATATAATTTGCATAAATAGGTCTACTGAAATATTTTAAATTAGCAGAAAAAAATGGTGGTAGTAATACAGTAGCAGTAATATAATTTAGTAAAATTAGTAATGCTAGAAAATGTAGGAATTAGTGCAAAAAATAGGTACGCTATGCGTACGTACATGTATCTGCGCAAAACTGGAGTCACATTTCTTGAAAGGAAGCGAGTAATGAGGTTGGAAATGTTTGATCATTTATTATATAATAGCAAATTAGACTTTAGTCTAATTAGACTTTAAAGTCAAACATAATACACATTCTATCAGGGCAGCAACTGCCCCCGAAAAGAGAATTTAGCTTGCTAATTTTATAATTCATTATGATCGTAATGAATAATTATGCAGTCAGGAAATACAAATTTCATGGGAACAATACTAGACTTGCAGAAAATAAAATAATTTAAAATTAATGTCACAAGTATATTTCCATAACTGTAACAAAGGTTTCCTGAGGTCAACTAAGTTGTAACGTTATTGTTGATACATAAATTGGGATGTGACACTGATAGCTTGACAATCTTCTTTATTGTCCATATAATCAAGATATGCAAAACATTTTAGATGCCATATAGTCACGATAGCAGATGTTGTCAATTCATACTGATAGAATTTTGTCATTTTTCAAAACTTTATTGTAATGATATAAAATAACAAATGCCCTGTCACTTGTTAATACAGCATGGATTACATTTGCCAATGTCATAGTAACATACCACTGTTCAAGGAACATACTGTAGTTGCATTATTGTAGCAATATATTGAAGACCACTGATAAGTAGAGAATGTTTTGAAGGTCATGAGTGAAGTATATAATTCAATTCCAGTCCAGTACAACACATAGTTAATGATATGTCCAATATAACACAGCATATCCACACAAAAATGATTTGTGTTGTGGGAGGGAATCTGTATGAGTAGAAGGTATCACAGCTTTATGATCTGAGAAATAAGTTTCCAAAATATGTGAACTGACTTGTATAAATATGATCTATTAATGTCCGATTGTCTGTGGTAACATTAGACACCAATTACATATAGTTATGAAAAAATCTATCTATAGGCCTTTTTTTGGTTTCATCCAACCAATTGATATTAAAATTGCCAATGAAAATGTTAAATTGAGAAGTACAGAATCTCAAAACTTCATCTAATGCTGCACACAATTGTTGTACTGGAATTCTGGGTGATCGATATATACCAATTTTTTATTTATTTTTATTTATTTTTTTTAATTTTTTTTTATTATAAGTAACAATTATAGTAACAATAATAATAACACAATTATAACACAATTATAACAATTTAATTATAACAATTAATAACAATAACAATTATAACAATAACAAATAAATATATTAAATAACAATTATAACAATTTAATTTTTATTAACACAATTATAGTAACATGTGGAAGAATCATTGCTTTCATAATGGTTATTTCAATGCCATTGATATTATAACAAGGATATCCAGGTAAGAATTCAACTCTGCTAAACACTGCCATGTCACCAAAGGGTCTGGTAGTCAAAGAGTGACCATCATTTCTGAATAAGGTGTAACCATCAATATCATACATATTGGCATTATCCGAGCGCATACATAGAGTTTCAGAAAAAATATTTATGTCTGTATTTGCAAAATTAAAATCATGCCGAATATCATCAATGTGTTTATGCAACGACCGTGTATTTAGATAGCACAGTTTGAATGATGAGACTTGGTCTGTCTTATAAATAGGAGTGACACTGAGTTTTAGTACACATTCATTTCTCTCAAATGTTGCATTTCAGCTGCTACATGAGGATTGACAGCTATTTTATCTTCACATAAGTCAGTGATAAATAAACCTTCCATTGTTGTTACCCTGCTCAAACCAACATAATGTATATGTGGTATTGATCTTTTAGTGTTGAAATTTACAACAATTTTTTTGTTCAGTGTCACCTTGTGTGCGGTGAATTGTCTTGGCCGAAGCGGGTCTAAGTGGAAACTGTTTTCTAACAACTTGTGCAGTTTGGTTTCTACCCACAGTAAACTGAGTTGTGATTGGCTTTATTGGAGTCCATGTGGACTCAATACCTTGAACATAAAAATGTCTATTTTCATGTCTGGTTTTCTCTCCAACATCTGAATAGTCAAATTGGACCCATATTATACCTGAAGGTTTACTTATTTGATTCAAATGTATTTTTTTAACAACGTTACCAGCACCATTAGTCATGCCATCATCAGTACGTACATTTAATGCCATCTCAGTTCTTTCCCCCACTGACAATTGAAGGTTTGAAGCAATTTGCTTAGTTTTCCTAGGATCATTTGGTATTTGACTCAAAATTTTATCTTGAAGTTGAGCAGAGTTAGCTCCTATAACACTGTCTATCGCTTTGATTGAAAACTTTTCACCAGTTGCTGCATTATGCACTCTTTCATTGAATTCATTGACCTTCTGATTTTGTATGAACAAGTGAGGCACATCCATGGGATCTTGGATGCTATTTTCTTTTATTAATCTTTCTTTTAGTTTCAAAATATCATCCTTAGTATGTTTTCCTTCCCTAAGTCTGTTTAATATTTCAGCAAACACTTTGCTCTCCCTAGCCTCCTCTGCAGGCAACTCTTGAAACACATGAGGGATAGTCAGGGATAGTTGAGGGATAAAGAGGGAAAATTGGGGGAAAAGTGAGGCGAGGAGAAAAGGCGGAGTTGCCTGCCATATCAGGAGCCTTATGTACTGGGTACTTCACCTACAGGACTTTGTACGTCACCCTTCCCCCCATAAGTATAGTATTGTGGCGACGTTTGAAGAGTGCGAAAGCAAAATTCAGAAGCTGTCTGATAAACTTAAATCAATTCTTCCTCTTGACCCTGAAAATGTAAAGTCTTTTGTATTAAATGGGCAGGGAGTAAACATTGTTGTACAAGCGAGTTCAGAATTCGAGGCGGCAGTTAGTTTTGGATATGGTTTATGCTATTTTGGCTTTATAGACTCGAACACAAAATCCGTTTCGTTCATTTGCGAGGACGAAGAAGGTCGAATTTTTTATTACGATCTTTTTAATGAAGGAGAATTCAAAGACCCGATAGTTGTTAAGTCTTTATTCGCTGGGAGAGCCAACGAAAATGTGGAACGTGAAAATCATACTTCAGCAAGTCAACTCGGCGAGAAAGTCAGACCAGAACCAGCTGCTGATATAAACAATTTGGACCAATGCGTGAACACTATTTCAAATGACTTAGAGGAGCTATTAAACAGGACACTTAACGATTATTTTGGATTCCATAACTTTAGACCACTTCAGAAAGAAATAATCAGGGTTCCAATTGGCATTTTGCTTGTGCCTGGGGTTCAGTATTAAAAAAATTAATGGCCCAATTTTCAAGTTTTCAAGTACCCCCCCCCCCCCTAAAACTTTTTTGTGAGAGGCTTATAAGGTTAGCGCAATAAATTAATGATACATGTTTTCATATGTATTTAGTAATATATGGCTGTAAAGTATGGTCCATTTTACAGGTTTTGATACCAATACTGATGGAAATTGGCATGACTGCACTATAAAAACATAATAATTAGTGACAATTGCAATACAATTACAATACACGCAATTTTAACATTTTTTGTATTGGTAATGTCTTTATAAAATTGCCGTTCTAAGTTCTTTTGAAGATCAATACTAGACAATTTGCATGTTAGCAAAGCATCAGGGGAAAAGTGGTGACCATAAATATTGTGACGTTATAAAGTTACCGTTTTAAAGGTCAAGTGCAGCTTAGAGATGAGTGTGATATACTTTTACAATTCATGTATAGAGTCTATATATAGACGTTGGTTTATATAATAAAAACTCTAGTTTTAGTACTCAAAGTAAAAAAAACAAGACCATGCCTATGCCCATATTATTAGAAACAACAGCTTTAAAAACAACACCGAAGAATCCAATTTAGTTGATGACTACGTATCTCTTAAAAATTACAATGTAATGTATGCCAAACATGAATCACAATTCGTCATTGCGTTATTTGTGTAAATAATCATTGCCTCAATAAGTGAGTGATAAACGTAATAACTAATATTCAGTACATTGTACTGTTGGTAGCTGTACTGAATACAAAGAATATAATGTATTTCTTGCTTTTTTTCTGATTACACCAAAGTTATTGCGACAGATTTGTGCAAATGTTATTTGATATCACACATTGTAATTATATAAATGCAAACTGCCTAGTTTTTTGGACGTGAGAAGGTGAAGAAGACTGGGAACGTCCTAGTTTTTTGTGCGCAGGGGTCTGAGAGCGTCCTAGAATTACCTTATTTGGAAAAAAACTAGGCTGTTGTCGTCAAAAACTAGGACGTTCCCAGACTCCAAAATACCAATTGCGCGTAATGACGTTGTTTTAATCTAAATCTAGACATGTTGACAGAATAAAAACATTCCTAAAACAGAGATTATTAATATAATACGGAAACAGCTTTACATAGGGTATTAAAATAGCAGAATATTTCGAAATTAAGCACGATAATGTAGAATACACGTACACAACACAAACTGACAACCGATTTTGTGACCTATATCAGAGCGTCCTAGTTTACGCTTTCTGGTTGCCTAGTTTTTCAATTTTTACCATTTTTTTGCCTAAAATTGGAAAATTTATGAGATTGGGTTCCCAGGCACAACTGGCCTCATTTGGAACCTTGAAATAATTACTGCAACATTGAGAAGAGAAAATGTTCTTGGAGTTTTGGGAATGGGCAGTGGGAAATCATTGACTTTTATGCTACCAGCTGTGCTTGCATCCCGGCCAACTCTTGTTGTTTCACCTACAAAAAGCCTTATTGATGACCTTGTGATTCGTTGCCAAGATTTAAATATTTCCTGTTGCAAATTCACTGGAAGTGTACCGTTGACTGTCCAAAATGAACAGTTAGACAAATTACCAGAATTTAAACTTATTTTTACAACACCAGAAATGCTGTATGAAGGATGTCTCAAGGAGAAATTTGAAACTATTGACATTTAGACCAGTATACAAGGTTGTATGTCAGAAACTGAGTGGTCTTGAATGTCCAAAACTTTTGTTGAGTCGACAGTTTCAAGTGGCAGTTCTGAAAGAAATGTTTGGAAGTGTAACAGTTCTGCAAGAAACAGTATTCCGGAATAATCTTTTCATTGAAGTTAAGGATCGGCAATGTAATACCAAGTTTTATGACGAGTTGTATTCATACATAAAAGATCAAGCATCCTGTGGCATAATATATTGTGTTCTCTCAAATGATGTCACTAAAATCCACTCTGAACTAGTGAAACGAGGTTTGAACTGTGTGAAATATCATGGTAAGTTGTCTGAGAGTGTAAAGGAGTCAAGTTTTTCAAAATGGATTAGTGGTGAAGTCAATGTAATCATTGCAAATTCTTCTTTTGGTATGGGCATCGATAAACGAGACGTTCGATATGTTGTCCATGTCAAGTTGCCAACCAGTATTGATGATTATTACCAACAAATTGGAAGGGCTGGCCGTGATGGAGAACCTGCAACCTGCTGCATATATTACAATTATAGTGATAGAACTGCTTTAATTAGCATGTTCAAGCACCATGATAATTTTGACCAGCAGTACAAGGCACTTAGTGATATTGTCATTTGTCTTGAAGACCCTGTACAATGCAGACATAAAATAATTAGAACATATTATGGTGAAAAATGTGATGGTTTTACATGTAACACAAGTTGTGATAA